TGCCAAAGAATAAAATAATATACATAATTTTTAATGTATTATATTTGTAAATTGTACTTATGTTGAAATTAAAAAAAAATTACAATACTATTTTTGCATTCTATGAAAATTTTTGTTGCGCCATATAGACCAAATTTTTAATTAAGAATCTCCCCTTCCCAGTCAATGGTGTCCTGCTTTACCAATGTTAAACTTTGGTCACCTTAAACTACAGACAAAGTTATTTTTGTCACATGATATGGCTCAGTGTGTGCTCAACATACTACATGAAGTTCCATATATTAAAAATTGAGATAAAATCTAGGAATTATAAGGAATGAGTTTGTAGTGTCAGAAGAAACCAAATCATCAGCTCCTTTTTCTTCCTTCCTCTCCTCTTATTACCCCACCTCTCTCTTCTTTTATATTTTATTTTATAAAGTTTGCAGGAATCATTATGGGGTTTTGAGTAAGGAGGAACTTGCTTACATGTAAACATTAATGTCTTTGAGATTTTGCTTCTTCCCAATTGAACTGTTTCAACATATACTTTTTATTTTTTCTCCTGTCTTCTTCGCCCTTTTCTAAGCTGTTCTCTCTGCCCATAACATCATGCTTTCCATTCTCAGGTCCCTGATCTCTGCTGCCCAAGTAATCTCTCCAATTGCTCTTCCCAGGTTAATAGGAGTGGAGGGAAAAAGAAAAGAGAAAAGATAATTAGAGTTTCCTGCCTTGAATGAATTCATATAATCTCTTCTTTCAGGCCAGAGAATGAGAGAGGAATTAGCAAACAATATCAAAATTAAAGAATGCCATGGTATATTCATTTTTTTTTTCAGAAACACTGATTTTCTTCAGAATCTGTAGTTCTGCTTCTAGAGAAGAATCAAGAGTGTCAAAAACAGCAAATATGGGAATCAGGGAGGCTGAAGAGGTAAAGAAAATTCATCTTCTTCAGTTGGCCAGTCTATTGAGTTGTATTCTATATCCAGAGCTTTATCTATAAGACAAAGAGGTAAATAAATTGTCACCCAGTATCATGTACATGTGCTGCTACACAAATGAAATAAAAAACTTATTTTAAGTGAGGGCTGTTCAGACTGCGTGTACTTGGCCCTAATCTTCTCTGCTTCTCACCTCTGCTCTGTTTGGATTTTAAAACTGCTGGTATTGACCATGCAGTTGATCTCTATGACCCCAGTCATGGTATAAGCATAAAGCTTCAAAATAACTGTCTTTGAATGGCAGATTTGTCTATATGAGAAAGAGGCCAACAAGAAAAATAATAGCAAAGAAAACAATACCACAGTAGATAACTTTCTATGTAGCAGGTGCCACTCTCAGTACTTACATAAATTAATACACTTAATACTTATGACAATCCATTTCCTAGATGAGAAAATGATAAAATACAGGGAGGTTAAATAAATTGTCCAAGGTCACACAGCCACCCAACAGAAGATCTGGGACCCAAATCCAAGTTATCAGCCTCCAGATTCCATATTCTCATTTACTACCTAATAATACTGCCTTTCTTAAACCTAATACTATTAGTTTGTATTATAACTTCCAAATTTCCCTACTATAAATATACCTTGACATATAAGTCTGTTTTAGTAGGGTAAATTTTCAAAAATGGAAATATTGGAACAATATATTCTTCAATATATTCAAGACTCTTCATACATTTTGCCAAATATCTTTGCATACATTTATAACCCATTTGTAATTCTATTACTAAATATTTTTGTTGCTTGTCACATACCCCATGTCACCTTTGTTAATTTGATGAGTGTAGGATGTCTCAGTTTAATTTTCATTTGCAGTGGACTTTGAAGTGGATTTTGACATGTTTAAATTCTTTTTATTTCTGTTTGATAAGCTGAATGCTTATAACTGTTTTATTCTTTAGAGTTTATTTTCTCCATCAGTTTGGAATAAGTTTTTATTAACATTTTCAGAATATTTTTGATAATTTTTGTTTGTTGTTTGCTTTTTAATATTCCTGATTGTATTTTTGTTGTAAATTTTTTTTTATTTTACACAAATTATTATTTACATTTTAATATGTATAATACAACTTACATTATATTCTACAACTTATCAATATTGAATTTTATGTTGCATTTTCCCCTTTGGCCTAATAATTATTTAGTAGTATTTTCTTTTCTTTTTTTTTTTTTAGATAAATATTTAAGATACGTAGGGTGATAGTTAAAAATTATCAAGTGGAAGAGCTTCCAAAAAATATGAGTTCCATATGATTTTCTAAAGTGAAAATTAAAACATTTTAGTGATCAGTGCTCAAAGGCACAGATAACTTTTCTTATATTTAAATATAATAGTTTGACGAGGATATGTTTTGATTTTTTTTGTTGTTGTTATTTTCAGTTTGGCTAATTTTTTTTTATTGTTTGTGATTCATTGAGGGTACAAATACTTAGGTTACACTGATTCTGGTTATTAGGTAAAGTCCCTCTTGTAGTTGTGTCCTGCCCCCAAGAGGTGTTTCATACACTGTAACTCCCTATTCCACTCCCTCCTCCTCTCGCCACACTCCCTCATTCTCCTACCCCCACCCCTTATATTAGATCATCTATTGTCTTCATATTAGAATTGAGTACATTGGATTCTTGCTTCTCCATTCTTGTGATGCTTCACTAAGAAGAATGTGCTCGAACTCAATCCAGGTTAATACAAAAGTTGTAAAATCTCATGTGTATGTAAAATACATATACCACAGCTTGTTAATCCATTCCTGGGTTCATGGGCATTTAGGCTGTTTCCACGTTCTGGCAATTGTAAATTGAGCTGCAAATGTCTGGTGCAAATGTTCCTATGATAATAGGATTTTTTTTTCTTCTGAGTAGATGCCCAAAAATGAGATTGAAGGAAAAATGGCACTTATGTATATACATGTAAGTTTCTCCTTCAAAACTTAAAAAAAATAACTTAATAGCTTAATATAACACAAAATTCATCCATTTTTATTTTTAAATTGATGGAGTTGTATAACCATCACCACATTCAGTTTTAGAATATTTAGTTATACTCAAAAGACACCATTTGCTTCTTTGTTGTCAAACCCTGTATGCCCTCATTCCAATGTTAGAACTAATATGTTTCTGCTTTTATACATTTTCCTTTTCTGGACCTTTCATATAAATAATATTTGCAATGTATAGTGATTTGCATTTGGCCATATTTACTTGACATAATGTTTTTGAAGACAATTTATGGTGTGTATGTAGCAGTACTTCATTTCTTTTTATTGCTGTATGGTGTTTAATTTTATAGCTATAGCAAATTTCATTTATCCATTTATAAATTGCTATACATTTGCATAATTTCCTTTTTTGGCTATGATAAGTAATGCTACTACAAATATTCACAGAAAAGTCTTGTGTGGATAGTATTTATTTCTCTTTAGTGGAATTTTAGAGATGAAATTGCTGGGTCATCTTATAAATCATTTTAAGTAATGACCAAACCATTTTCTGAAGTGACTGTATAATTTTACATTTCCATCAGTAATGTGTGAAAATTTCAGGTTTTCCACATTTTCACCAGCAGCTTTTAATGTCAAACTTTTAAGTTTACATGGAAATAGTCATTTCCTCGTGGTTTTAATTTATATTTCTCTAATGGCTAATGTTGTTAAGCATCTTTTCAAATGCTTATTATATGTTTATGTACCTTGGTGAAATGTCTATTTGAATTATTTGCCCATTTTTTCCAGCTAGGGTATTATGCTTACTTAATTGTAAGAGTTATTTATTTATTTTGGATACAAATCTCTTATTAGATATATGCTTTGCAAATATGTTGTTTCTATTTGTGGTATGCCTTTTTATTTTTATAATGGTACATTTTGAAGTGTTTGATTTATGGACTCTCATTCTATCCATTGACCTACATGAGTAGCTATATTCCCATATCATACTGTATTGATTATTGTGCCTTTGGAGTAAGCTTTTAAACCAGCAGATATAAATCCTCCATCTTTGTTCCTTTTATTTTTTAATTTCCAATTTCTTTCTTTGTACATTTTATTATTTTCTTAACAATTATTACAAGAAAAGCCTGGTGGCATTTGATAGGAATTATGTTGACTATATAGATCAATCTAAGCAGAATTATCTCTTGATTTTATTGAGCCATTCAACTTATAAACATGGTTAATCTTCGTTGACTCAAATCTTCCATAATTTCTCTCAACAGTGTGTTTGGTATAATGGTTTTCTGTGTGTGTGTTTTGTACTTGTTTTGTTAAGTTTGCTAGTAAATATTTTTTATACTACTGCAAATGGAATTTTCTTAATATCATTTTTGGATTGTCTATTGCTAGTTGAAGCAGGCAAAATAATGAACCTTCAAAGATGTCCACATTTTAATCCTTGGAACTTGAAAATATGTTAGATCACATGGAAAGAGTTGGAATTAAGATTGCAGATGGAATCTCTCTCTTAAATTACAGAGATTACCCTGCAGTATTGTGGTAGGCTCAATGTAATTGCAAGGATTCTTAAAAGTGGAAGAGAGAATCAGAAAATCAAAGAAAGAGACATAATGTTGTTGATGCAAGAAGGGGACCATGAATCAATAAATGTGAGAAGAAACTTGGAAAGGCAAGTAAAAGGCAAGAGTCATCCCTGGTGCCTCCAGAAAGGAACACAGGTCTGCATATTCCAAATTTTTACATCCGTGTAACGAATATGTTTACTTCTTCCTCTCTTCTCCATAGGTCTTGGCAGAAAATTTTACCATGGTCACTGAGTTTCTGCTGCTGGGATTTTCAAGCCTTGGTGAAATTCAGCTTCCCCTCTTTGTGGTTTTTCTTTTTCTGTATCTAGTTATTCTCAGTGGCAATGTCACTATTGTCAGTGTCATCCGCCTGGACCAAAGTCTCCACACACCCATGTACTTCTTCCTGGGCATCCTCTCAACATCTGAGACCTTCTACACCTTTGTTATCCTGCCCAAGATGCTCATCAATCTACTTTCTGTGGCCAGGACAATCTCCTTTACCTGTTGTGCCATTCAAATGTTCTTCTTCCTTGGTTTTGCTATCACCAACTGCCTGCTATTGGGTGTGATGGGGTATGATCGCTATGCTGCCATCTGTCGTCCTCTGCATTACCCCATTCTTATGAATTGGCAGGTGTGTGTAAAACTGGCAGCTGCCTGTGGGATCGGAGGCTTCTTGGCCTCCCTTACTGTAGTAAATTTAGTTTTCAGCCTCCCTTTCTGTAGTGCCAACAAGGTCAACCATTACTTCTGTGACATCTCACCAGTCATACGTCTGGCCTGTACCAATACAGATGTCAATGAATTTGTCATATTTATCTGTGGGGTTCTTGTACTTGTGGTTCCCTTTTTCTTTATCTGTGTTTCTTATCTCTGCATTCTGAGAACTATCCTGAAGATTCCCTCAGCAGAAGGCAGAAGGAAAGCCTTTTCTACTTGTGCCTCTCACCTCACTGTTGTTATTGTTCACTATGGCTGTGCTTCCTTCATTTACCTGAGGCCTACAGCAAACTATGTTTCCAACAAGGACAGGCTGGTAACAGTGACATACACCATTGTCACTCCACTGCTAAATCCCATGGTATATAGCCTCAGAAACAAGGATGTCCAGCTTGCTCTCAGAAAAATGTTGGGCAAGAAAGGATCTTTACTATATGACTAAAATGTTATTATATTTTAATTTCCATAATAAATAATGCCCTCCTTTACCACATGCATGTTGTACTAGGACTCTTTAAGATACTTATCATGAAATACGCTGTTCTTGTCACAATTTCTTTAAATCCAGTCTGCAGGCTAATGTTTTTCATTCCAGTCTGGAATCTCAGAGAGCTCCACAAGTTTAAATATCCAGTCTACTGTAATAACTAAAAGTATAATTTTTTTTAAAAGCTATAATTTCTACCTACCTTGAATATTGATCTTTGAATCAGGATGCCTACATTGGTGCTGATAGAGGTTGACTTGTATATTAGATCTGTCAACATCCACTTCTCTCTCCACTTATTTCAGTGACTGAAACTTCCAAGTATTGCATTGTGATGGGAGGCACATATGGGAGCAACTTCTTACCTGTCATGCATTGGTAATGGTTGTCTCAGGGCTTTGCAGGTGTTGCACACTGAGACTGTCTCTTGTGAGGAGCTTTCCTGGGTGCTAGAGCAATTCCTTACAGGGAGCTACCGCATTTCTTGGGATATGGTTGAAGTTGCCTCTGGCTGATAGCTTGTAAATTTGCCTCTTAATTCTGAGAGTTCAATGCTTTTCTGGGTCAATGTCATTTAGAGGTCTTGTTGGGCAAAGTCCTTTTTCAATTGATTCCAGAATGATGATTTCTCCCAAATAGCTAATATCTGATCCAAAATAAAATGTTGAGCATCCTCGCCACCCAGCGTCTTTCTCTATGCTCTGCTATCTTAGGCTCCTACATTCATGTTTCTCAGGTGATCTCAGATACCAGTCCACTCTGTGACTTCATCTCCAGGAAATAAATATCAGTCCTGAAGTAGTTCTCTGCTCCTGGAGGAGACAAAACATCAAGTAGTCTAATAGCTTCCTCCAAAGACTATATTCCTTCTCCCCTTTTTGTTCTCAACATATTTAATTTTCGAGAGTGGTGGATACATTCTGTTCCCTCAGCTCTTGTGCCCCAATTGAAACTAAGACAGAAAAACTCTCTCTCTTTTTTTTATATCATATGTCACTACTACCTGTTTTTCCTTTTTTATTAAATAATAACTGTGTACATTAATGCATTTATGGGGTACAATGTACTGATTTGATATACAATGTGGAATGCTTATATCTGTAGAATAAAGTGTTATTATAGGGTTTATTTGTAAGTATTGAATTCAGAAAGTTACTAGTTGTACAGTCAAATAGTTGGTATGGCCAGTAGAATAGCTGTGGATGATCACGCTAGGTCACACATTGCAACATGCACCCCTTTAAGAATCTGTCTGAAGCCATACACCCAATGCATGAAATTGTCCTTGTCATATATGTGTGTGGGGAAGATACTCAATTACAATTTAAGGAGTTTTCCGTGTATCTCCAAGCCATTCATAGACCCAGTTCATGAATTTGTCGTATTAGCCAAACTCACGTAAAACACTTAACTCATTTTTTACCACTTTATTGCTGTCTTTCCCCCTTTTAACATTTTGCCACAATGTTTTATTTTTTATCTGTTTGAAAGGTTGTATATATCTTCATGTCACAGATTTTACATGCTTTAGCATTCAATTATAATGGCCGGAGAAAGTAACTTGCATCCCTGCTGGTACCTTCTACATCTCCTTAATGAATGGATTTAACTTTCCTTTCAATACTGAATTTCATAAAAACTTATCATGGGATAAACAGAGAAGCTATCCTGATCAAGACACCACATACAATTAGCTAGAGTAGGGCTACTTTATGTCATATTAACTAAAAAAACTTAGGAGGATCCATTGTTCAGGCTAGAATTCAAGGTTTCCAACTGGAGAGTATGTAGACGTTAGGAAAACCAAATTTTATGCTGTAGAAGACAATGGCAGTTAAGTTGGAAACTCTAGCAATAGACTTTAGACTTAACACTTTGATCAACTTTCATAAAAAGTGGTTGAGTATCATGTTTAACAGTAATATATGTGTATAGAACATTTTCTGCAGCATGCAGGTATTAATATAGTTTTTAGTTATTATTTCTATCTTTTTTTTTTTGTTTTTTTGCAGTTTTTGGCCAGGGCTGGGTTTGAACCCACCACCTCCAGCATATGGAGTTGGTGTCCTACTCCTTTGAGCCACAGGCACTGCCTCAATATTCTTTCTATCTTTACAGATCTAATTTCCTATCATTCTTTTGATGTATGGGTATCTTGAGTTCCTTTTTGTATTAATAGAAACATGGAAGAATTGAAATTATCTTTTAAAAAGATTCTAATAAATAATTAATGGAAAAATATCTGTACAGAAAAACACTACAGCCACCATTAAATAAAAGATGGTGGAAGAAAAACCTGAATTTGTCATATTAGACATGACAGCTCCCCATCTAGGGACTGTAATGTGAGATCCCCATGGAGAATGGTCTTGTGCTGGCCTGGGAACCAAAGATTTCTATTTGAAAGGGCCATAACCAGGTCCAAAATAAATGGCAAATGCTTTTAGTTTGGGTTACATTAGCACCTTGTTTTGGGGCAGCAAATTTTGTTCTCATTATTTATTGCTGCAAAATAACTATCCAGAACTTCAGTTGCTTAAATTAACAGTAATTAGTAATTTTGCACAAGAACCTGAAATTTTGGCAGGGTTCAGTGGAGATAGTTTGAATCTGGTTTATGTGGGTCCAGCTTGAATGATTCAACTGGGGCTAAAGAATTCCCTTAAGATTGCTCACTTGTGTAGCTGGTTTGTTTATGTTTGCTATTAGTTGTTGCTCAGCTGGGGCCAAGGGCCATTGACCTTGGTCTCTTACCACATGGATTTGTCAAAGGCTTCTTCAGATTTTTTGAGGCATGGGTCAAATGCGGACATTCTAAGGTACAGCAAGTAGCAGCTTTTAGGGTTTAGAGACAAGAGTTTATAAACTGATGCAGCATCACTTTTAATATAATCTATTAGTTCAAGAAGTAGCAACTGACCTATCTAGACTTAAGAGAAAAGTGTATCTGTACTATCTCTCCAGGTGAGAAATATAAAACATATGTGTGGCTATCTTTAATCTTCTGTACAAAAAGAAGGAAGATTAAGTCCGTGGATAAATTTCCTTAGAAAGTATTTCTTGAAGATTGAGCCATTGTCCAAATCTCTAATATAACTGAAGGATAAAACAGCCACCACCAGGTTCTTAGATAATAACTTTGTCTTTTCCCCATCCCTGTAGCATCTCTGATCCAGGAGCAGCTCTTGTGCACCCTCAGAGAGGCATCTGTGAGTGTCCAGCATGTGCCCATTTGCAGGTCAGGTATGGTAAGTCGCTGTCAGAAAGAATCAATATACAGCCTGAAACAGAGAGAAAGCTGATGGGCTTCACTTAAACTCACACCAAGACACTGTCAGACTTTCCTCTATAACCCAAACTTTCTTTACTTATTCAACAAAGATTTACCAAATTCACATTATATTCCAGAAACAAACCAGTTTCTTATGTGTCGGAAAGACTTGTGTTCTCTCTGCCATTCTAATATTCTGTATTCTGTTCTTCACAACTTTCTTCTTCTTTTCTAGCTTTCATACATATGAATATGTAATTCATATGAATGTGTAAAAGAAGAATGTTTATTTTATTTTATTTTATTTTATTAAATCATAGCTGTGTACATTAATGCAATCATGGGGTACAATGTGCTGGTTTTACATACAATTTGAAATGTTTTCATCAAACTGGCCAACATAGCCTTCATGGCATTTTCTTAGTTATTGTGTTAAGACATTTATATTCTACACCCAGCAAATTTCACGTGTACC